CAGTACAAATCGGCAATTTCATACTTTAACCCCTATTATTATTTTATGAAATTACTCCGCTAGTTTGTTATAATTATTATCTTTGTTTTTGGTTTTTAACGACTTTTTGTCGTAGCGCCATCTGTGAGAAATGCATGAAAGTTTTTCATCACTAAGCTACCTTTATAGCTACCTTTCCAACCGGATGAAACGAATTTTTCTTAGTGTTCGATACTTGTATTTATAATTTTGGTTTATTCAAATTAAACATCTATTTATATCAGTGGCAAGCAAGTGTAATTACACTTGAAATAGTCAAATCGATTTAAAAGTATTACTTTTTTTAACCGGCTTAAAAAAAGAAAGTGGTTTTTAATTCAACTGTAATTTTTTTGTACGCGATTACTTCGGAATTTGTGGACCGATTTTGATGATTCTTTTTTTGTTGGAAAGAGGGCCTCTAAGGGTGGCAAACTAGGGGATGCATCATGTTGCGCGTTCTGGTAACCATTTGTAAACTCTTTAGTTTCAATTTGTATGTACATATAAGCAAAGTTTGAAGTCGGTTCCTTTTTTTTAATAAAAATTACTTTTATGATACCAACTGACGGCACGAACAAGTCGTGCGCCTGATGGTAAACGACACGTCGTCCTGCTACTAAACTACTGTCCATTCATAAGGCAGATTTCTCTGATTTCCCTTAAAAAACTCTTGGGGTTGCTCGTAGTGGCGTAGTGTTGATTTCTGCCATCGGGGCCAACCTTAAATTTGTTCATTCCAGCTGACGCGGCTCGATTGTGTTTTTATGTTGACTTGCCTTCGCCAACTTTGTGTTGTTCGGGATATCGTTTTCTCAAATAGTGGAACTTATTTTCTAATTTTAAGTGAAAAAAAAAAAATATATTGATGTGCCGCCCGTATTGATGTGCCGTCGGGGGCCATCGCCCCTTCTGCACCCTCCACGCTACGTCTCTGGTTGCTCGTTGTAAATTAACTTTTATTTACAATTATTATTCACATTAATTATGTAAACATATCTTATGTAGAACTTGAAAAGTCTAAATGAATCACCTACACGAAATTCGATTGTATTTTTTTTTATAATATCAAGTGACAGGCCGAGCAAGTCATGCGCCTGATGGTAAGGTACACGCCAGTCCATAACAATTGCAATGCCACTCAGAGCTTTAATCGCAAAGATCTCAGGGGCACTACCACTGCGCCCGTCACCCTGAGACCATTTGACAACACAGTTGACATTACTGTTTGGTGGCAAAAATAGGTAAGGTGGCCATTTACTTACAATTATATGGACGTCGGGTCCGCGCTAAAAAATGTCCGCACTTGTAAGGCGCTAAAATCGTATACAGAGCGCCAAACTCCGCTTTAGTCTTCATTTGTTCTACTGATAGCGCGATACTGCGATGACATTACAATTTAAATTTCGAATAGGTTGACTTGGGACATTTTTTTCGTGGTTTTTGTATTAGACCCGTCGTCCATTTATTTGTAAGTCAATGAAGGTACTTCCCTGGACTAACTCTTTCACAAGGAGCTCTACTGGTGTTTGTCTATCTACATCATAAAAAAGCACTCTAATCCATCACTTTAGAGGATAATCAGTGCCCAGAGCTAAGTCCTATAAGGATTGATTAAGGCGTGCGTAACAAAAGTGTAGGAAACCAGTTGTAGTCATACCAAGTAAAGCAGGTACTCGTCCATATTTATCGGCAATCCAACCAAAAAGCAACCCTCCGACTATGGCACCGCAGAAGAAGATCGCTTGAGCTGTAGCTGCGAGGCTGTCTCGTTCACACACCCAGTCCAGCTGTGGGGGAAGATTTGGGTGATTTAATAGTAGGTAGTCAACCTTTGGTTCTTTTTTGAGAACTGAAGCACTGAAAAATTGTTAATACACATCAAATCGATACCTCCAATGGACATTGTTACGATATTGGTTATGGACTGGAACCGAAGCCAATAAACTATAAAAATATATTGTCTTTGGGTGGCCGGAGTGGAGGCAAAACTCGAAGCTAATTTGTTCTTTATTAAAATAGTCAAATGAACATTTATTATATGTGTCATTACCATAAATAAATGTCTTTATGTCAAACATACATACGGACTATTCATTGATGTAGTGAAGAACATTACAAAGACTAGGCCAAGTTAATTCTTGGACTTCTATTTTTACTTTGTTTTCTGTTTGTTTTTTTCACAAAATTAATTTTTTTCACAATATTCGGGGGGCATAATATTAGATATGTCAATTTGTCACAATTTTTAATTGTTGAGGATGTGGGAGAAGTCCAAAGAGGGGTGGTAACCAAAGCTGGGCAGTGGTATAAAACCCGATCAACGCGGCCGGCTTTAAACCGAGTTTTAATTCAAAGCGCCCGATTTTAAACCCATTTTTGCCCAAAATTGTGAACAGAAACAGCGAATACGGAATTTGGTAGGTGTAATTAAATAATTATTACAAATTTCGATATAAAAAAATCTTTTTTTAGACGAAAAAGAGTTAACACCACACAATCCTGTAGATTCTCACAAAAAAAGGAAAGTACATTATGATGCGGTTTTGATGAAGAACGATCAGTGCATACGATCTAATGATTTTTTGTATCGATTTATCTCAATGCGATTTTCAAGTGCATCGATTCAATAGAATGACAAATCAAATCGTCTAGATGAGAAAGCAATAAACATTTTGCAATAATATCATTCAATTTGAATAAAACTCAATTTGCAACAAATATTTAGAAGTATATAGTTTTTGTCCTCGATTTTGGGTGTTAATAATAATAATAAAATTTATTTGTTGAGACAACTGAGATCCAATCAAATGTTAGTAGGTACAGACTTAAAACTATATTAGTACTTATATATTACCAGGGACTTTGTGTTATATTTATTAAGTGCCGCATAATTGGCACTCATTCCTATCAGCAATGTCTTCAGTACAACAGCCGTAAAACTATCTACGCGCGCGTCAGTGAACATGGCTGAGGCACTGCAGAAACGTGACAGCCCCAACAGCGTCCTGAAGGCGTTGTAGCATTGCACGCACAGAGCATTCCGAGAACACTGAGTGTGGCTCTTCCACAGAGCGCTAGCGTACATTGATGTGCAGTAAGCTCTAAACAATGTTGTCTTAACTGCAGCCGTACATCTGGCGAACTTGCGAGCAAGCATGTTTGCTCTCAGCGATAGTGTTCTCCGTTCGCGCTGCATATCCAGATCATACTTGAGGTCGTCGGTAACATAGTGTCCCAAGAATTAAAAATGGCTAACCCTTTTTAACGGAGAACCAGGAAGTGCACACGTAGGACTCTTCCTACCGGCGGCTCCAAAGATCGTAAACTCCGACGTTTTAACATTATATAACAAGCCATGGGATGTTGCATATGACTCATATAGTCAAATTAGTTTTCTCAATGTACTGATCGATGGCGCTAGCAGCACCATGTCATCGGCATAGCTATTGTTGTTTAAACAAATTCCGTCAACAAAGCAGCCCACGTGCGTGCTGAGTAGTTCACTAATCGCAAACACAAAAATTAATGGGTACTACCTAACCCATTTAAAAAATGTAAAGTGTTTTGGTATAAAAAAACATAAATCATATTTTTTAAATATTACTCATTGTGCATATTACCTGTGAAGCAATAGTTTCATAGGGCACATCACTCCTATTGTACTCCCATCCATTTTGGCAGGGTACAATCGGCCACTCGTCGTCAGACGTTGTTCTGTTTTGCGCAAGCGCAGCCGCCCAGTCCGTCTTGTACATCACGCATCGGTCGTGGGAGTAGGGACCGTCTGTTTTTGGTGGGATTGCTAAAGATCGTCTGAAAGAAAGATATATCTAAATTTAACGCCATCTATAGTTACGTGTATAAACATTTACCCTTTAAATTTTTTAATTCGCCAATAGATGGGGTCGTATTTTCAAATTGAAGATAAAGTAAGTAAAAATGGTATTGATTATAACATTGAAGATGTCGTTCGTGTTAGGCCTTATTCAGAGTGGTGGCGGACGCGGATGCGGGCGCGAGTGCGTTTTAATCAAATGGAAGATGACGTTCGTTGCGTTCACTTCCCTAGTAAGTCTGTGGTAGCATTCACAGTGGCCGCACGCGCCTGTGTCGAGGCGGGCGCAGGTGCGGCGGCTCGTGAGTCGCGCGGGTGGATCTATTGGATCTAGCATCTAGTGTCTGTTTGCAACTTCGACGTGCGGCTCTAACGGTTTTAGTCGCTTCGCCACTGTGAAAGGGAACACGCCAAGACCCGCGCGCCCGAACTCGGCGCCGCGCCCGCGCCCGCACTCTGAATGAGTCTTTTAATACCCTTAATGCACTCTGTGTTTTTGACCGACTTCAAAAATACTCCCGACTTTTGTGAACCGTTTTCGATAATTCTTTTTTTGTTGGAAAGTACTGGTCCCGTTCAAATTTGAAGAAAATGTTCCACCTCCGAGATCCAAGAGTATAAAAATCTAGAAAACTCGGGCCCACTTTACTCCAGGTCCGTCAGTCCGTGACCATGGGCATGGGCTTAGCACTAAAGGGCTCGAAACGTCGCTTTGTTTGAAAAACAAATATACGCGATTTAAATGCGGAAAAATAGTTTAATTTCCTAAATATAATTCATGTCAGATATAAGTTAAAAATATTAAAAACGTGATAAAATATGTGATTGAATTTCATAATTATAAGTTGTCATGTAGATAATCATTAATAGTATAATAACATTTTATCAAACAATAGAGATGTCAGTTTTTTTTAAGTAATGCTAATGGTATTGACTTCATGTTTTCCGGTAGTTTATTATATATATTTGGTGCCATCCCAACTATTATACCCTTTTCAAAAAGCTGTTTTGTAACTACCTATTAACAATAGGTTGAAGTACTATGATCGCATAGGCCTTCGTACATCCGATAACTTTATAAATTGATGTATGGTTATTACATGTTGTTGAATTGTAATAGTCATTTGTTATGCAAGGCTACAAAGTTGTTGTTTCACACGAGTGCTCATATTGAAACAGCGAGTGGTTCAAAAGTGGAATCCTCAGCGTAGCGAGGGTTTCAAGACAGGAGACCCAAAACAACACAAAACAACTTTTCAACTCACTATAGCGAGGGAAATTGTAGATGAAAGAAAAACAGACGAACTATAAAACATCATTTTGACTAAAGGAAAAAAATTCTTGCCTGTACTTAGTGGTTATTGAAATTATTTTAGTTCTTCAACGAATTAAAATAATTAAATAAACACAATTAGTTTTCAATGTCAATTTCAACAATAAGAAGAATAAAATATACAACGGATTTATGTTACATAAATAAGTAATAAAGTGCAACAATTCGGTTAGTTGAACATTATCTCTTTTATTGTCATTACCTTTTTTATTTCATTGAAGGAAAAGGTTAGGTGCACCACAGTCCATCGTCAAGTTTGAATTTAAAAAACGCTTTAGCGCGCACATTTCTAATGAGAAAGAAAGCCTTCCCGAGCTAGTGAGGTGAAAAATGTATGTTTGAAATACAAATACGAATTTCAATTACAAACAAATCAAGCCCAGTCGTGACAACATCTTTATGTTGCATGCAATAAAGAAATAAAAAACTAGTTTTTTGTTTTTAAACATTGGTCTCTACATTCCATAGTTTTCAAGATCGGTCCCTTTCTACGACGGACCTTGTTGAAAGTGATTGTTGATTTTATGAAGAATGGCAATGCCTCCTCCTTGGAATTAAAAGCCTCTAAATAAGTATTTATTAATAGTATTAATAGTATCCACGTTTTATAATTAGTAGTACTTTTTACCTGAAATACAGGAATTTCCTAGTTCAGGTACATGTGTTATTTTTACATTAAATCGCATAAGTAGTCTGTAGTTTTCTCTATACATTATGTTACTGAATAAACAATTTTATTTTATTTTATCATTGATCGATATCACTCTTTATGTGGAGGCTTGGTTTCAGATTTGTAACGAGAAGATTCAACAATGAAATTTAAAGTAAAATTATTCAAATTCATATTAATTTATTTCTTTGTAATACGCAGGTTACAAAAGGTGTTATAAAAAGTTCATATAGAAACCCTGTGATCCGCCTTGCAACGTACAAAGTTTTTTTTTTTATATACACACTCATGCAATAATTTGTACTTATGGTGTATTTTAGTACCAGTAAACCTTCTGCCGCTAAACAGTGATGTAGCATTACTACGTTCCGGTTTTGGAGGGTAATGGTGCTGGTGAAATTACAGGCACATGGGACTTGTCAACTTATGTTTCAGGGTGACGGGCGCAGAGGCAGTGCCCCTCAGATCTTTGCCTTTTAAAGCTCTGAGCGGCACTGCTTTTATGGTTATGGACAGGCTTGTAGATTACCACTAGGCTACTTATTCGTCCCGTCTCTTGGTGTAAGTAGTTTTTGTTTTGCCAATTACTGTTATTTCAAGCAACGCACATAGATTAAATCACACTTCCGTAGGCAGATTATAAAAGAAGTACCTACCTAGTTTGTACGTTACACAGTTCATATAATTTCATTATGCTCTGTGCAATTTCGCTTCCGTTCCGTTCCGCTGATAATTTTTATAATGTCAGTCGACTTTTGATAATGTTCGTATCGTCAATAGAAAATTTCGACTTCTGATAATTTTCATAATAATAGCAATAAAAAACCTTCATTTATCTACATTAAAATAACAACAATTTAGCCTTAAATAATGAATGAATGAAATATTCTTTATTGCACATTAGAATTAGAATAACAACACACAACAATGTGAGTATCACAGAGTAAGCTAATGTACAACAGGCGGCCTTATTGCTAAGTAGCTATTTCTTCCAGGCAACCTTGGGATAGAAATTTAAGAGTTGGAAGGGGGGGGGGGGGAGTAGTAAGAATAGTGTCATCTAAAATTAACACATGTAGATAAAAAGGTAAGAGTGCTTAGCTTGAGTTGTTTCAGACTTTACTCTTTTGGTGGAGAACTCGTTACATTTTATATTAGTAGGTGGATGACGCGTCCTGATTAGTTTCGATGAAATTATCACTAAAATATACACAATTTATAACTATGATAAAATTATCATAACGGTACCCGAGTCACGTAACATATTCAACTTATGAGTACTCTTAATTTGAAGTTTACATAGGGATGAACAGAACATACATAAAAAGTAACTAATTTATACAATTTCAGTTGACTTATGATAACGTTCATATTGTCAGTAGAAAATGTTGACTACTGATAACTTTCATAATGTCATTCGACTTTTGATAATGTTCTTAACTGTCCATAAAAGAAATTTGTTACACGGAGCAAGAGGCATGATATAGTGTCTGCGCCCTTCTACGAGAAATAACCAGTCCGTTACAACATGCCAATATGTTTTTACTACCATATCGTACCTGCATACTTATTATATACAAATTGGCCCTATTCAAGGTTTGCAAGGTACGTCCGTTTGAGTAGTATAAATTTTTCGATCCTAGTACATATTTATGACCTCACGGTTCAGTGGTCAGACACTACGGCTGACGTCAGTATATACCGGGTATAAATACCGTTCAAATCGTTATGTTTTTGGATTTAGGTAGCAACTTAATACTTATCCGTGTTACCGTTTAAACGTGTTTTTTACCAGAAAACTTAATTAGCAGAAACCTTAATGAATATAATGAAATAAAACAATTTTATTTCAGACAGTAGGTACAGTTATACATACGTCCATATGGTCTTAGTAGGTACTTACATACATAGGGCGCACTGTAAGTTTCCGGAACTGGCCACTTACATAAACAATATTTAAAAAGTAATTACAACATTTGAAAATTGAACTCTTTGGCTGTAGAAATACAGTTTGTTTCATCTGATTGTCACTTGTTTTTACATTGTGGCGTCATTTTAGAAATTGGTTGTCTACGTCACCATGGATTTAACTCGGGAAAATTTTCGTAGGGTGATTTTCTACGGCTTTTAAGTGTAATTTAACAGCTCAGTGGAGCTTCCATCGCCATCAGACTGCTTTTGGCGATGAAGCACCATGCAAGACGATTATTTATAGCTGGTTTACAGAATTCAAACGCGATCGTGTGAAACTCAGTTACGAATTTCATGATGGTCGCCCGTCCACTGCTATGAATAACAAAAACGTCGATGCTGTGCGCCGTATGAACAAAACAGAAAGGCATGTGACATACCATGAGATTTGGGCATCTTTAGGCATAGGCATGAGTCAAATACAATCCATACTATACAAACATCCCAATATGTTGTGAAAAAGCTGTGCTCTCGGTGGATCCCACACAATTTGACTGAGGCTCAAAAAACGGATCGCGTCACTTGGTGCAATGCCATGCTTACCAGATTTAACGAAGGGGCGTCAAATTTGGTGTGGAACATAGTGACAGGTGAAGAAATATGGATTTATAGTTACGATCCCAAAACAAAGCAGCAATCGAGCGTATGGGTCTTTCGAGATGAGCCGAAATCAACCAAAGTAGCGCGCGCACAAAGTGCCTCTAAGCGGATGATTGCTTCTTTTTTTAATAAAATTGCACACGTGGCTACTGTTGCTTTGGAGAATCGTTGTACCCTGAATAGTGATTAGTACACGACCATTTGTTTGTTGACCGAAGATATTGACAAACAACGTAAAAACAACCACGATAATGCCAGTTCTCACACGGCCAGACAGACAAATGAATTTTTGAAGGTGAATAACGTTGACCTTATGAGCCATCCCGCACTGTCACACAACATACAGTCCCGACCTGGCACCTTGTGACTTTTATTTATTTTCAAAAATTAAGAACCAGTTACGG